CGACTTCGCATCACAGGCAGTGGGGTTTGGGACCCGAGGTCCACCGAGTCGACGCGCGCCCCGGCCGCCAAGAGCAACTCGACCACGTCGACCGCGCCGACAAGACACGCGTGGTGAAGCGCCGTGACGTTGTACGCGTCACACGCATGCGGCGAGTGCGTTTCGAGGAGCTCGGTGACGCGCAAGGCGTGTTTTTCGCGGGCGGCGGCGACGAGCGGTGGCAGCGTCGACGGCGTGCACGGCGGTGGCGCCCAGAGCGAGAGGCTCGACGAGCTCGCGGCGAGAAGGACACCGGCGGCTTCCCCTTCGAGGCACACGATCCCAATCGAGTCGGGCGACGAGGCTTGCAGCGCCTGCGACACGTTGTACGGCAGCATGACGCTGGGAATGGTAATGTGGTCGGCCGAGAGCTGGTCGACGCTCATGACGAACGCGGCGTCGGGGTTGGCGGCGTCGTTGTTGCCGACAAGGACGGCGATCGCGCCGGCGTTTTGCGCGCGCTCAATCTTTTCAGGAAACGTGCACCCGCCCCGCTCGACGAGCACAATGGACCCCGGCATGCCCGCCTTGTTGCTGAGGGCCGTGTGCGCCTGCAACGGGTGGCTAAACACGAGCCGACCGCGGTAGTACAGGCGCTTGCGCGACAGGCCAAAGTCGGCCAAAGGCGCGAACTGCACCGTATACGTGTCGGCCGATGTGGCGTAGAGCACGAACGCAAAGAGCGGCGGGAGCGGCTGGCTGGGACTGCGCTTCTCGGGCAGCATTGACGGTAGCAGCGCGGGCAGCGCGTCGCTTGGCGCAGTTTCCTTGGCCATCTACAAGAGCCTCATGCATCATGCAACACGAGTCGGCGGCGACCCACCACTTCGACGCGCTTCTTGACGACGTCGACGCTGGCTTGTACGACTTCGGTGGTTTGCTCAACCGTCTTTTTGACGACGTCCATTGACGCCTGAAAAATCGTCTATCGGTGTGGTGCCCGATGCGTCAGATTGCGTCCGCGTACCTTGGAGCGCTCTTCAATCTTGAGCTCGACGGCGGCGGTGAGGCCGTCGCGGAGCGACCGCGCGAGGCTGAGGCCGACCATGAGCACGGGGATCTCAATCCCGACGCCTTCGTGGGCGAACGCTTCGCCCATGCGCACGAGGTCTTCGCTCGAGTTGGTGAGGATCATGGCAATCGCGCCGGCGGCTTGAAGGCTCTTGGCCTTTGCAGCAAACGAGCACTCGCCTCGCTGGACGACGGCGATCTTGCCGCGCAAGGCGGCGGCGTTTGTGACACGCGGAAAGGCGGTCCGCGGCTCGGCGTGCACGAGGACGCCGGTGTACTTGGCCGGGGCTTGGGCGCCAAAGGTGGCAACGGGCGCTGGGATCTGGCGCAGCGTGCCACCGAGGCTTACATGGACGTACGCTAAGAGCGCCATTCTTCTAACTGCTGCCTGCTTTCGTGGTCGACCGAAGACGTTCGGAATTTGCTGTCCTCGAAAGATCGAAGCCGACCGCACTTCGTTGATTGGCTCTAATCCGAGGCATATCTTCCACTTTCTAGCCAATCCGACGCGGCGATTCAAAACTGAAGTTGGCCTTTCTCTCGACCAAGCGCGATGCCAGCCCCTTGGAAATGGGAGCACGATGTTAATCAGTGGCTCGGACGTGAAGGTGAGTGGTGGAATGAAGCGTCAACGACATGGTGGCAGACGCTTTGACAAGACGGCCAACGAACTAGAGAGCACTTTCATAAAACTGGTCAACATGGTGTTCGTTTAGATCATATTTTTGTGGGCCCTTGCTGTTTCCTACCGCGGAGTCCAAAAATGAAGACAGCTCAGCAGCTCGCTGTGTGCTTATTGCAACAGCATGTCAGCAACTACGTACGTGGAAGGGCCGCTCTACATTTGCGTATCTGCAGTTTCATTAGTCGAAATCTGCGCGCATGACCCCTCGGGTTGGCCTCCTCGCCGCACCCCCCGAGGTAGTTTGCCCGCCACAAGCGTAGCCACGCATCCGATCTAGGCGACGTGTTCGTACAAGTCGCGCCAGTGCACCCGCGCACTCAAGCGCAATGACCAACTGCACACGCTCTGCGAGTTTCACGGACAGCGCATTAGTGCAATAGCCACCGCAAGCTCAACGTCACACGGTGCAAACTGCGATGCGAGATGCCTCTCCTTCCACGCATCGCACCCGGTTTGCTTGTTTCCCCGTCGAAATGGCCTTGCGCACTGCACACGTACACTTGAACGAGCCATCTCGGGCTGCGTAGTCACCGCCCACCACACTCTATTGGACGCGCTCTGACAGGCTTCGAGACGCCGCTTTGTATAAACGAGCCCGTCGTATTCGCGCTTGCTGGTGGCCAAGACTGCGTACTATTCCTTTCTCGCTCAACGCCGCATCCATGCGTATCCTACTGATTTTGCTTGTGTGGCTCGCCGCTGTCCTCGCCGCATGTCCAGCTCGCGTGCGCAAGCCGTGGGAGGCGCTGCCAGCCTCGGAGCAGGCTCTCTTCCTACGTGCGTTGACGCTGTCGATGGACCGCGGCTACTACGCGCGCTTCGTCGCGCTGCACGCGGACGAGATGACCAACCGCGAGGCCCACAACTCGTGCGTCTTTCTCTTTTGGCACCGCAAGTTTCTCCTCGGATTCGAGACCATGCTGCGGTCGCTCAGCGACGAGTTTGCTTGCGTGACTTTGCCGTATTTCGACTATGTGCAGCACAACCTCGATTACGTGAGCCGCAAGTGCACGACGATTGCGTCCTGCGCCACGATCCTCGGCGCGTTTGGCGGCAGCGGGCCCTCGGTGCCGTCGCGGCCGGCGTCGCAAATCCTCGGGCACCGCTTTCCCGGGTCCCAGTGCATCTCGGCGTCGCCAGCCTCGCATTTCTGCGCGCCGGGGACGACAAGTTGCATGCGCTGCGTGCCGCGCGGTCCGTGGGCGTCCACGTACTTTAGCCCCGACCTCAACTTCAACCGCGTCAAGCAAAGCGTCTTTGCTGGCCGTTCGATGACGGCGGTCACGGCGGCGATCGAAGCGTCGCCGCACGACTCGATGCACGCGACGCTCGGCGGCGCGATGGCCAACCTCTTTGTCTCGGCCGCAGATCCGATCTTTTTCGCCCACCACGCGACGATTGACGTGCTGTTGAGCATCTACCACGAGTGCCTCTCGCGCCAAATTGGCGCCGCCGAAGCCAAGTCGGTGTCGGACCCACGCGTCTTTGAAGGCTGCGTTGTCAACAACGCGCCGCTGACGGCCAACTCGCGCGTGCTGCGGCTCGCGTCGACGCCCGAGTTGCCGTTCTTTGACAACGTCCCTCTCACGTACGGTGGCTGGGTGGATGCGACGCAGCTCGGCAACAGCAGCTACAGCTACGAGCTCCACGGGCTGCTTGGTACGCTCTATACGCAGTGCGATGCCGCGGGCACGACGACCAACGTGGCGGCGAGACGCTTGACGAGACACACGGTGCGTCACTCGAGTTCGGGCGATGCAAAAGCGTTTCTCGCGTGGCGCGCGGCCATTTACGCGGCGGCAACGTCGCAGGCGCTGGCGCCAAGCGCGATCGAAGACGAAGTGGAGAAGATGATGGTGGTGCTCTACGAACACTGTCTTCCGGGGGTGGTCGTCGACTACCCGACGGCCTTCAAGTCGATGTGGCGCATCAAGCGGCCGGCGACATCCAAGGCGCTCCTCGACGGCATCACGTCGGGCGCCAACCCGATCCGCATTAACGACTGGACCCAGATCAACCAACGGTACTACAACTGCTCGGGCGCGCCACAAGCGTAGCAGACGACATGGGCAGCTCCTAAGACCATCACAGATATGTACCTCTTTCGCATACATTCGTTACACTATGATTCAGTCATGGGATTCAGTGATCATCAATGCACAAACAAGGAGTAAGGTGGAGCTGATGTCTGTGTCGCAGTCATGCTCTCGCCATTTGCTAATTCAACTAGACCATGTGTCAACACCATGCCTTTGGACATGCCAACTAGAACCGTAGAACCCCTGGGTCGTCGTGTCGTGAAAGACAAATTTGATGGCCGTTGCAAAATGCGTCGCAGTTTAGTGTGCGAAAAACTCTAAACGGTCTCGCGCCGGTGCCGGCACAGGCATTTTCAGGGAATCCACACAAGCCGATAGATCACAGTCCCCTGGTTAAAGTCGAGCAGCGACAAAAACCATCCTCACTGGACGTGCTCGCGCCAGGCACGTCCAGAGGCTCCGGATGTCGGCTGCCAGATCCTATGGCTTGTAAGAGGGGTAGGTGTACACGGCGTCAATTCCCGCGGATGCGCCTGAACATAAATTTACGATTGCATCGCAGCTGTATAGCAATTTCTTTTCTAGACATGGGGCAGGGACGAGAGAACTATGCAATCATCGTTGGCATCCGCGTGTTAGGCCGCATCGTCGTCTACGACGTCTGCGAGGCCAGCTGCGCGAGGGCGGAGCGGAGGTCGTGCGGGTGGTGGACGCTGTTGAGGAACGCCTGCAGCGCTGACGTTGTCGAGCACGAGGTCGCGGCATCGGCGTCGTCGAGCGGCTCGCGCCGGATCGTGCGGCAGACACAGCGACCAGTGCCCGGGCAGCTCAGCGCTTGGGCTTTGAACGGCGCGAGGAGCGTCGGGCGGCCCAAGAGAAACTTGCGCAAGCACATTACGAGCTCGTCGTTCTCGGTCGTCGTCGGCGCTTCGTCGGCGGTGCCGTACTGCCGCAGCACGTTGCGGATGTCCGTGTTGGTCATGCCACCGTGGCTGCCATCGGGGTACGACCCGACAAACGTCTGGAGCGCGACGGCACTGTCGTGGTCGTAGATGCCCGAGACGGCCACGCGCGGCGCTGGACGCGTCCACGGCGCCCGTGCCCGCGCTTGGTCGAGGCGCGCGCGGACCCAGCCGTCGAGGACGAGGTCCGTATCGCGGTGAACAATGCCGTATGTAGTTTTTCCGTCGACGACGTCGGTTTGGAGCTCGAGCTCGTCGGCGTAGTCGCCCGGCCAGAGCTTGTTGTTCTCGACGTTCTGCTCGGCGACGCGGACGACCCAGCGGCCATCGCGCTCAAAGACGCCAACGACGACGGCGACGTGGCCGACCCACTGGTTGGGCGTCGATTGGTACACGAGAAAGTCGCCGACTTCGGGCTTCTCAGTGCCAAAGTTCGGAAGCTTCTGCAGCGGTACGATCGCAAAGTCGTCGCGCCGGCTCACATGCTCAATCTTGGTCCAGATGTGCGCCGCCCAGCTCAAGCTCGGGAGCACGATGCCCTTCTTGAGCACCCAGAAGCGGCGGGCGTACTCGACGCACTGCCACTTCATGCCCGTGCAGAGGCCATCGAGGAAATTGGAGCCGTCGTAATGCGGAAGGTCGGCGTCCGGGTTGTTCTTGTAGTTGCAGTTGTAGCCCTCGACGCCCATGCACGTCCCAAGAAGCGCGCCATGGCGCATGCCCGTCACGGGCGCCTTCTCGCCGTTCGGGTTGTCGCCGGGCCATCGGCGCTGGTGGGTCGTCGTCGCTGCCATGAGTTCGATAAATCCACGTCTGCCGAATTCGACGCCCGATTTTGATTTCTCGTAATCGTCTCAAGTTGAACCTCCGACACAAGATCTGGCTGCTGCCGAAGACGGTGGAAGGTCAAACTAAGACAGCAAATGGCTCCACCACCGTTCTCTTCTACTCCTCGTTTTAATGCATCGCGCTGCCCGTGCTTCAAGAGTCATGGCTCAACCTGTGGCGATGGCTTGCGGTCAGGTCAGTAGTACAGTCTGTGTGACCTCTGCTCCGAGGCGTTCGATCCTACTCCAAGGCTAGCACCCAGACCCAGAAATGATCAGAGACCAAGCAAGTAGAAATCGTCGGACGTCTGTGTTGTCGGTTGATTCCTCTCTTGTACAAATTCACGTTCCGTGAAGGAAGAGGTCGCGCAGACCACTTAGAGGTCTTGCTAGCATCCAGTTGACAGTATGCACATGCCAGCACGCAAGGACGGTGCTTAGCGGTTCTGTTGGCATAGCTTTTACGATGGAGACATATTTTCTTGGTCATCCATGTACTACAGTACCTGGATGCACCGATGCATCCAGGCAGCGCGACGATGGCGCCAAGCCATTGAGACGAGCCTGAGAACATTGGCTTCGAAAAAAGTATCCATCGACCATACGCTTTTCGTATGCGGAATTGGTTACCGGATTAAAAAAGTGGACAGGCTAGCCGACAGACGAGCATGACGTGGACTTGCCCCGCGTGCACGCTCGTCAACCCGAAGGAGGCGATGGCCTGCGAGGCTTGCGAGGGCCCTGGTCCTGGCGCTTCATCCTTTGCGACGTCCGGCGCCGTCGTCTGCAAGGGCTGCAATCAAGCCATTCGGTAGTGTACAGCAGCTGGCCGACGGCTTGACGACCGAACGTGCGTAGGCGCGGCGCGGGTATGCTCCAGGCGCTAGGGCGCAGCTACCATCCCGAGTGCTTTCGCTGCGGCGCGTGCCAGCGCGTCTTCGAGGCCAACACGCGCTTTCAGGTGCACGAGGCCGAGCCGTACCATGCCGCCTGTTTCCAAGAGCTCTTCCATCCTCGGTACGAGCGTCGTCCGCGTCGAAGCTTTGCTGCATGGACGCACTAGCTGTGACGTCTGCAGCGAGCTCCTCCCGATGAACACGAGCCAGCATATTGTGTACCGCGAGATGCCCTTCTGGCGCCTCAAGTACTGCGGCCTCCATGATCAACGCGCCCGCTGCTGCAGCTGCAAGCGCATCGAGGTGCATACCATCCACAATGGAATACTATTTCATGTCGGCAGTAGCCGACGGCGAGCCATCGTCGGTTCGAGTCGCTCCGTGACGGCCGCAAGCTCTGTTCGGAGTGCGCCGACACCGTTATCCTCGACACGTCCGAGGTAGAACGCTTGAGACGCTTCATTCTAATGCCGTTGCAGGTGCAACCCGTCGTCGCCCACGTCTGGTCGTTCTTGGCGTCTCTCGGCATGCACCTGCCCGCAGTAGCCCTTTGCATTGCGCTTACGTTTGAACCGGTAACATCTGCGTGTGTAGCTACCCGTGCTGCTCGTGGACTTTGAGACACTCAACGCCCACACGCACGACCACCACGCCAACTTACCCCGCGACGCAAAGGCGCCTGCCATCTACGGCGTCTGTCTCTCCGAGGTGCGTCATCGGCACGGTAGAGCATGACGTCTACAGCTATGATAGGTCCGCTACATCCAGCACATTGCCCACCGAGGGGCCACGGAGCGCATGCAGCTCGGCGATCGGCGGGTGAATGCGATCTTGATCTTGCACGGACTGCCGTACGACATGACCGCGCACATTCTGGCCCACGAAGCGACGCATGCGTACTTTAAGCTACACCCGGGCTTCCCATCGCACTTGTCGCCACAGGTATATACGCCTGCACGTTGTAGTGACGACGGAACTTGGTAGGTGGAGGAAGGCGTCTGCCAGCTCCTCGCGTATCTCTACCTCGAGTACATGAACGTGACCAGCGCGCCGGGCAATTTCCGCGCGACGCTGCGTGGCTGCTACGTCTACCACCTGCTGCACGACCCGAGCCCGGCCTACGGCGACGGTCTCCGCGCCGCGCTCGCTGCGTACAACCACCACAACTCGTTGCAAGCCGTGCTCGACCTTGTCCGCAACAACACGTTATAACCCACTAAACCCTTATCAAAAACAACCGACGCTAAACAAGGCCGCCGACTGCGCGCTGCCCCCGGTCCGAGAGCGACTTGTGGTGCGCCGCGAGCGACAGCTGCATCTCCTCGACAAGGTGGCGCTGGTACTGCAGGGACGCAAAGAGCGCCGTGTCAAACGACGGCTCGGAACTCGCGGTGTGCAGATATCGTTCCCGTTCTACCGAGCCTAGACAGACAGACAGACAGGTGAGCTTCACGAAGCACGCGCAGTCACTGTACCGAACGACGGGTTGAGCGAGTGGAGGAGCGTCGCATCTGACTTGGCGCGACCATAGTACTCGGACGGTCCCTCTAGAACGCAAGGCATGAGCGTCTGAAACCACGTCGTTAGGACGGTTGTCTACCCCAGCCGTACGGCTTGCCGGCGCTCTTGCTGCGAAACTTGGTCGACGACGCGGACGAAATGTCTGAGAGCGGCGAGTCGCACTCGAAGGTTTGCGACCGGTCAGCGAACGACGCATGTGTGCAGGACGCTATGACATACAGATGTGTGTGGGAGGCCGAGACATGGAAGAAGCCGCGTCGTACAAGGGCGGGACGGCTCGTCGAGCTCGTCGGCGGTTGGCGTCGACGGGCTAAACGCGTAGCGGCTTGAGGTGGACGAGAGCGTGCCGCCGCCGTTGAGCGAGAGCCGCGGTGTCCGGAGGCGCGTCGAGGTAAAGCACGTCTTGCAGTACGTCGCTTTGACAATCGGGTGGCCAATGTGCTTGTTGTGGTCCGAGACGGACGCGAGGTGGCTGAACCGGCCCATCGGTCGCACGTTTTGCAGCGGCTGTGGAATCACGACAACGCATTTCGTGCAGGTAATCTGATCGATCCATAAGAACCATATCCGATCGTAGTGGACATCTGGAAGGTGAAGTGTACCTGGCCACACGTTCGGCAAAAGCACCAGCGGTTCGAGAACGACGGACAGGTCGCGCACTTTTGCGTCGAGCTAGTACGACAGAGTATTGAGGCGCGTCCTGCCAACAAACAACGAAGTGTCTACCGGTCTTTGGCACGCACGGACCGAACACGCGGCGACTCCATGAGCCGGCGCATCTGCGCGAGCTCCGAGAAGATGGTCACGTTGGCATAGTACTTTTGCGACGTGCGCTTGTTGTAGATCCACGCCGGCATGTTGCCCATCGGGTTGAGGTGGCCGAGAATCGTAAACTGGACGCTGCCGTTCGGGAGCTCGGTGAAGAGAAACCCGAGCTGGTACTGGAACCGGACCACGTGCGGAAAGGGCGGAAACGCTTTCGACTCGATCGTGTGCCGCACCTGGAAGAGCGTCCGGTTGCCGTTGCTGTCGAGGCGCGTGCCCGATTGCTATGCAAATTCTTTCGATCGGATTGACGCAACGCGATGGCATGTCGTACCTCGACGTACACGGTGTCGCGCGGCTGAAAGACCGTGTGCACGGGCAGCGGCAGATGCACACGCGCGTACTTGACGCCAAACCACCGGAACGGGTCGTCGTCCGTCTTGGCCATGTCGGTCTGCAAGATCGCGCCGTCGAGAAAGTCGTACTTGTAGAGCAAGCTGAGCACGACGCGGTGCGCGTGCGTCGTCGGCGTGTAGAGCCCATACGCGAGCTCGTCGAGCGTCGTATCGCACGTGCCCTGGATGAAAAACTCCTCGAACGGCGACGTCGGCGTCGCGCGCTGGTAGCACCGGTACCCGTGCTTGTCCATCGTCATCTTGTAGCCGTCGGCCTCGAGGCTCTTGTGGCTGCTCACGGTCGTCGCCATGGCCTCCTTGGCGAACGCACTCGTTTTGCGAAAGTGCTTGGCGAGGTCACCGGCGCTCAGCTCAATGCTCGGGTACTCCATTTGCCGCCAATCTGGAAATGCCAGCGTCCGCCGCGCGCGGCATCTGATCCCGCGTCTTTTTTTCCTCGGCGCGGCTTCTTTTTTTAAATAATATTTTTTGATTTGGATGTTGGGGCGATTCCCAGAATGCCGGCTACTCGCCTCGACAGGCCAACGCGGCCCAGGAAATAGGTCAGCGAGCTGGGCCAGGTAGTAGTACGCTTCTTCTTCTTCTTCTTTGTATACGATACAAACCCCGCCGAGCAGAGAGCAGACTGCGTCGTCCGCGGAGCTCCATGGTGTCGTCGGGCGCACCGACAACCCTTTTCGTCATCACCCGTGGGTGCGTCGCTGGATGGCGATCCGCGAGGTTCAACCATTTGAACGAAAATTGCCGTGACCAATAATGGGAGATTGCCGTTTGCCGTTGAGCCATCTCATGTATCGTGGGCAGGTCGTGTCTGCTTCATCATGCACGGGAGGTGCCTAGAAGAGCCTTGCGGTACGGTGTCGTGTGTGCTTGGTTGCGCGGAAGCGACAGGGACAGCGCCTGGTTCGTGACTCGTCGCAAGAGGCTTTCTCAGTTGCAGAGGGCGCGACGACTAGCCACCGGGGGGTGCCTGTAGGTACAGTTGACGCGCGTACTACGGTTCGAGTAGCTTGCACGCAGTCGTGGCTTCTCGCACCAGGTTGACTCGACGCGGCAGCCGCGATCTACCGACGCCCGCACCACGCCTCCAATCGTAGCTCAACACGACAGAGCACACGTATACTATATAGCGATATCTTAGTACGACAAGCGCAGCTTGCGCAGCCAGTACTCCATTTGTACGGCCGATGGACGGTCCTCGGCGCAGTGGGCAAGACACTTTTTGGCCACGTCCTGCACGTCAATCGGGCACTCGACCGAGAACGTGGGCTGGAGCAAGTCGGCCATGACCAGCGTCGCAATCTGCTGGCTCGCGTCTTCCGCGTCGCCACTCTTGATCGTGTGTGCATACGGGTGGTGGCCCAAGTCGACTTCGCAAATGAGAATCCCAAAGGCGTAAATGTCGGCCTTCTCGGTCCACTCCTCACCCTTGAGCACTTCGGGCGGTGTTAAAAGCCGGTCGGGGACGAAGCGCGGCGGCTCGTGCTCGGCGTCCTGCGGCCGAAACCCGCTGAGCTTGGCGACATAGTCGTTGGTCAAGAGCACATGGCGTGCGTGGAGGTTCCGGTGCATGATCGCCGGCGCAAACGAGTGCAAACACACAATCGCGAGCGCAATGTCACTAACAAGCGAGAGCTTCGGGAGCGCGTTCGAGCTCCGCGGCATCCACTTGAAGAGCCGCTCGGCCGACGACCGCGACTGGTCGAGCGTGAGGAGGCGTCCGAGGTCACCTTTGGCCATGTGCTCGGAGAGAAAGCCAAACCCAAGCATGCCCTTGCGCAGATTGCTGCTCCAGACGGCGCCGATAAAGGTGACAATGTTTGGGTGGTCCAAGCGCGCGCGGAGCGTAATGACGGCGAGGAACGCGTCGGCTTGGGCCGCGAGCGCGCCGGCCGCGTGCGTGTCGGTCATGAGCGTCTTGAGCACGACGAGGCGGCCGTCAAACTCGGCCTTGTACAGCATCATGGTGCCTGGCACGGACGCATTCTTGTGCTTGCCATGGAGCGGGCCTAGAATCTGCACGTCGTTGAGCGGAATCCGGTGCTCGGCGAGGTCGCTCTCGAGCAAATCTACAACGTTCTCGTCCACGTTACCAGCAACGCGACACGTCGTACCCGTTTCAAAGCGCGAGAGACCCGCGGCCGACTCGGCGATGCCGGGAGTCGCTGTAAACTCAAAGCCCGCCATCGAGTCGAGCTTGCTTTGACGCGACCGGTTGGACGCGAAATCTTCGAGGAGCTTGGAGAGCGCTTTGGAGCGCACGAGCCGCTTGCGATACAAGACGACGACCGCGACAAGGACGACGAGGACGACGCCGGCGCCGACGCCGAAAAACCATCCTTTGCCTACGAGAAAGGTTGCATGGTTTCGCAATGGGAGATCGAGACGTACTGGACGAGACGACGTCGCTTCCCGCCGCAATGTACGTCGCATCGGGGCAAAACACGACCGTCGAGTTGCCCGCGAGAAGCTTGAGCTGCGACGACGTCGAGCAGTTGAGCGACAAGATCTGATCGGGCAGCACGAGGCCATTGGGGATCGCGCGAAAGAGTGTTGCGGTCGCGGTCGACAGCGGAAACGACGCGATCGGGTTCCCACGGAGATGCACGCGCGTGAGCTGCGGCGGGAAATCGCCAACGATCGAGACAATGCCGCACGATGTGAGGTCGAGCGACTTCAACTGGAACGGCAACAGTGACGCGTTGAGAAAGCCGTCCGTGACCGGGTTCCCCGACAGGTTTCTACTCGTGGCACTCAGAAAAAGAAGATCGGTGCCTCCATGCGCGTACAGATTGGTGACGTTGAGCGGCAGCAGATGGGGCGCGAGCTGCCATGCGAGGTTGTTGAACGAGAGGTCGCTACGCAGGATGGAGTATCGCATTTAGCAAAAGAACACCAGCAGCATGATGTACATTGCTTGGACACTGGACGGCAGGTTTGTCGGAAACGACGCAAGCTTGTTGCTCCCGGCAAGGCTACGCACGCGCAATTGAGAGGTCTGGTCCGACATGCTAAAGAGAAGAGTACATGGTCGTCACGTTGCTTGGGAACGTGCCGAGCGACGTGAGAGCGTTGTTTTGGAGCTTGAGAATCGCGAGTTTTCCGAGCTTGGAGAGGTCCGGCATCGTAGCGAGCTGGTTGAAGCCGAGGTCGCTACCCAAGAGGCGCATGAGAAAACTGCACCAACGAAGAATGCCCTACAGCTGCTCGAGGTTGGCGCCCAGCGACTCGGCCGGGAACGCCGTGAGCTTGTTGCCTGGCAGGATCCTACTCGACTCTTTATCATAATGATGCACGACGTGAACGCACAGGTTCTTGAAGCTCGACGGAAAGCTGCCGCGCACGGACGCGAGCTGATTGCTGAAGAGGTTTCTAACGGCAACGTCAACTTCACGACGACGCTGCAACGCAATACAAGGTGATGAGCTGCGGCGGGAGGCTCGATGCATCCAGCGTCGTGATCTGGTTGAACTCGAGGACACTAGGTGTGTCATGCATGAGACGCGGTCTTGAAAACAACGAGAGTTGCGTACAGGCTCCATAGCCCGGACGGTAGCTCGCCAATGCTCGTGATGGCGTTGGACGATGCGCGCCTACGCGTGACAGTGAGTCTCTGCATGGAATAATCACTTGGTCGAGCGCACAGCGCATTGAGATTTGTAGCTTGGATCTTGGCGATTGACGTCAGGTTGTTTTGAGAGACGTCCCTAAACGCAGTTTTTCTACCCTTGCCATGGCGACAACTACTGCCAACGTACATGACCATGAGCGAGCTGGGAAACTTGGTGCTGGCGAGATCTGTGAGCTGGTTCTTGGTCAAGTCCCTACCCCGATGCACGTGAGTCGCATCGTGGTTGATGCGCCGTGTCGCACAGGTTGGTGTAGGTGTTGTTCTTGTTGAAGTCCGAGGCAAGGTCCGGCCCAAGCGCCGTGATCCCGAGGCCACTCAGCACCATGGACGAGTTGACCGTGTAGTAGTCGTTGACGATATCGACGGCCTTGGTGGCGTCCGTCCACGGCGCGACGTTGCAGCTGGTGTCGTAAATGCAGTGGCGGGAGCTCGCGATCACGACGGCGCCGAGCTCTTGCTTGGACGACGCGTCGTAGCAAAAGAGACCGGTTTCCTGGATGCTCTTGGCGTTATTGAAGAAGACTGCGTTCTTGTACGTCTCTTGGTTGTCGCTGTAGACCTTGTTGAATGTATCGGAGACGCTATTGGAGACGTCTTGGCACTGGGACGTGCTGTACGAACACAGCCAGAGGTAGTTCCTACGGCGATAATGAGGCATGGCCGCCTCGGGAAAGCGGGCAGTACGTGAAGTTGCCATATTGGTTGCCGTCGCTTCCGGCGCACGTGTCGGTCTTGATGATTGGCTTGCAGCTCGATGGGTCGTAGGCGCACACGCGCTTGTTGTCGGGCGACGAGACGACAAATCCGCAACGCGCTGTGAGCGTCGTCTTGGCCACGCTGCAGCCGTCGGCCGCGGCTGTCGCAAGGAGGAGGCCAAGCACGAGCGCAATATTCCTCCACGTTGAGGGCTCTCGGAGGCGCATCGTCGTCGCCTGGACCTGGGAATCGTGCTGCTCCCGTTGTGTACCTCGTCGCCGGCTGCTCTGTACCTTTGACACGCACTTAGTCGGGCTGCACGTGGTGCGTCGTGGGGGGCCTACCAAAACGTCGTCGTCGTTTGCAACCTCGACTTTTGGGAAGTAGCCACCATGCTCTGCACCAAGCTGGCCACCAAGCACGCTGTACGTATATCGGTATCCAGGGCCAATATGGTCTCACACGACGCTATTGCTGTACTCTATGCGACGTTGCTATTGGAATTGGATGTATTTGAGCTCGTTCCACCAAAAAGCTTTTTATTATGGGCCTGGGGCCAGCGTTTGGGTGGCGCCTGCCTCTGGACAAGTGTAGGTCCGCAAAGCAAGAGACTTACCTCAGGAGGTCTTATACCTACCATCTTCACGCTGCTCTCACAGCGTAACCATGTTAAAAATGATGTGGAAGGAAGGAATAGCATGCGACTCTCTACCTGTCGAATTACAAATGAGAGTGGGCACGTACACTTGGTCGACCTTGCTTGATTAGCTCGTTCGATTGGGCTGTGGCAGACGTTGGACTGTCGTCGAGTCGCCATGGACGGACGTTGGGTGGGTCCTATCGTCAACGGCGAGAGATCCAGCCTCGCACTTAATCGATCTCAATTACTCACCCGATGGCCTTTTTGACAGAAAGCACGTGGTGCTCGGGTCTATGCACCTCGTTGGATCGCGTCGGCGGCGTCAACGGCTGCGTCGACAGTGCACGTCGTGTAATACTCTGAGCGCGGATCGCTGACCAGATGTGAGCACCAGAACCACGCGACCAGACTACCAATGGGCAGACCAAGGGGACTCATTGAATTAGACTCGTATCAACCCACGCTGTTTTGAGATTGAGTTATATCGCGACGCCAAAATCGTTGCGCTTCGGACCTGGCCGCAGCGTCTTGTGCTGAAAGGTGCCAGGCGGCACGGCCGTCGCGGGCACCTTGCGGAGGCAGAAGAACGCAATCTTGGGCGTCTCTTTCTTCTCGCGGATCTCGAAACCCACGCGCGTCAAGATAGCTTCGAAATGATCGACCGTCATGTAATTCGAGTTGGTCAAGCAGAGCAGCGGCAACATGAGGAAGAAGTGGCCGTCGTCCTTGAGGTGGCGCCACGTACGCTGGAGCATCTCGCCTATTTTAGTGTGAGAAGCCGATGTGATGGCGGTGACAGACCTCGCTTCTCGGGCGTCGGGACGCAGTTGATGACCATGCTCGAGACCACGACATCAAAGGTCTTTGTGAACGGGACGTCGAAAAAGTCGAGCTGCTGGATCTTGGCGTGGCGCGCGATGAGGTCGATCGCCTGCACGTTGAGCCACGGACACACGAGGAGCTGCGTGTTGATGGCGCCGACCTCGAGTACCTCGAGCGGCGGCTGCTTCTTGCCCGGGCGGAGGCCGAACTTGGTGAGGAGCGAGAAGACCCACTTGCTCGTGCGATGAAAGCTCGTCGAGAGAATGCTCGCGTCTTGGTACACTTGACGACCGCCGAGGTCCTTGAGCCGTTGCTCGAGCTCTGCCTGGCGCGCCTTGGCCTCGTCGTCCTTGGTCGCGTCCTGGAGCCGATTAAGCTCGTGGGTCACGCGGTGGAACTCTGTTGTGATCTCGCGGGCGCGCCGGCGGCTACATGCAGCATAAGATGATGACGCAATCCATTCGTCCACGCACCTCTTGACAGGCGGCGGCCCAATCGGCACCTTGCGCAGCTTGGACTTCTTCTTGCTCGGCGCCATTGCTTCTGGCCGAGACCTCGTTTGATTGGATGTGGCGGATCCGGATAAAGCGCCGCATACGGCGTGTCAAACAGACTCGCACCGCGACAGAGAGATTCACGGCTGGATTCCCAGCACGATCGAGAGCTCATGCCTCATGCCGCAAGCTCGTACCAGCTGCACCAGCCGTCGATACGGAGAGAGCTAACCAAGTCGCATTACTATGCGCAAGCGAAGGCGGGACCCGAGGCAAATCAAGCCCAGCGTCCGTGGGTTAATAATGCTTTGGCTCGTTGCATTCTACGGGCGACTCGCGTCCATGCCGTACAACATGGCGGAGGCTAATATGCTCTGACATGGCCATAGCTCTGAACATGTGCGCTCCTATGGGCGAAAAGCGAATGCGTGGAGACGCTCCGACCTACTTGTGCCAGCATCGCTGTGCGTCGATCGACGTAGGCCGGCGCCTATTGCACCGACGTGACGAGAGCTTGATGGCCAAGACAGTGGGGCTTGACGTGCTGTAGCAAAACCAAGCCTTTGAAGCAGCGTCGCGCCATAGCCAAGCTGGCAGTCGTTCGAGGCACACAGTTTTCTTGTAGTCGCCAACGCACGGTTGCGGTCGCACGAGCAAGCTGTCAGCCAACGGCCATTGCTGTAGGCGGCGGTAGGCGCGCCATGGTCCTCGCGTCAGCCAGCAAGACTTACCGCGAGTCGGGTGCATGGGCTTGGCCATCACCGCTTGGCGTCCGTGGGTCTCGTGGCAGCTTTGCTTTGTCGTCGACGGCGTCCTTCTCGAAGTGTCGGCTGGTCTGGCGTATCTTCTGAAGCTCATGGAACAATCCTCCGGTTGATGTGGATCAAGGTCGGTTAGGAAAACCAGATTCCCGTCACGATTCGCTCTTCAAAATTACATACGAAACGCAAGGTTCGTGGGCACGACATAAAAATGGCGCGGGCTCCAAAGACGGCAATTGACGCCCATATCCGTTCTCCGTATCTCCTAAGGTGTATTGCGTCATCGTCGATCCCCTTCCCTTTTTAAAAACCGTACTGATATTGAAGGAAATGTAAGCACAGGTTAAAAAATGCAACTTGAAGCTCCCGGGCACCTCGTGTCGGGTAGGCGCCCCAGTACACGGCGGAGCGGTGGTGTGGGCTTGTGGTTTATTTTGCAAACGTCGCCACGCTTCGGTAACCTAATGGGAGAAGCCATGACCGAAGCCACTACCGTCGTCCCCGCCCCGCAAGTCGACGAGCCGTCCACGGTCTCCGTGCACGTAGAAGGCCCCGGCGCCAAGGACAGCATCGTGCTCGAGCACGTGAGCCCGCTCGACACGGTCATGACGCTGCGCCAAATGATCGCCGAGTTCCCGGTCTTGGCCCACCACACGTGCTACCACTTGGAGCTGCAAATCCCGGACAACCAATGGTATGGTGTGCAATGCAGCGGCTTGCACTGACAATGACACGTAGGATTCCGCTCAACGACTTTATCGAGTTGGGCGACTACCTCGCGGCGTGGGACGAGACGACGACGTCGTTCAACGTGCGCATGATCCACGACCGATACGACGTCCGGAAGGTCCGCGCGCAGGTCCGCCGCTTCCGCGACATCATGGCCAACCGCCGATCCCGCAGTCGGCTACCGCGCTCGCGCCCAAGAAGACGATCGAAGAGAAGAAGCTCACGCCCAAGCAAGAAACAGACAAGCAGCTCAAGCTGCTCAAGGACATTCACAGCAAGCTCGAAGGCCTCGTCGTGCCCGTCGAGCCGTCGCTTGAGACCTTGTACCAGCCCGTCGCGCTCAATGGTGCCAAGAAGGCGACGGAGGCGGCAAAGAAGGAGCAGCCGAAAAAGTCCAAGGGCAAGAAGAAGGCCGACACCAAGGCCAACAACAACAACCATGCGACGCCGGAGGAAACGCCGCTGGACGCGACGTTGCCCAAGTGCATTGAGAGCATCGTTGTCTCGGGCTTCAACCCGCCGCCGGGCCCGCGCAAGCTCGCTGGTGACCTCACGTACCTTGAAGTGACGCTCACGGACGGCTCGGTGCACCAGATCACGGCGCACGTGGCCGGGTTCTACATCAACAAGAGCACCAAGACGTCGTTCGACCCGCGGCCGGTCGCGAGCCACCACCACTTGCTCCTCGACGTGCTCTTGGCCGCGTCGCCCGTCTTTGCTGCCCAGTATGCGAAGCTGCTTGCGGTGGCGGCGGCGTGGGCGACGGCCGGTGCCTCGTCGGTCGAAGCCATGGTGCAGGCCTCGGCCGGCGCGCAGTCGCTGGTCTGGACGACGCCTGTCAACGACTCGGCGCATGCATTCGACGCCAACCGCGCGCAGGACGACTTGAGCGTCGGCATTGACGAGCGTGGCGTCATCCGCGACTGGAACGAAGAGTACCAATGCGCGCGCGAGCTCCCGAACGCGACGCTCCGCGAGCAGATTGTGCGGTCGCGCGTGCTCTTCAAGATCATGGCCGAGTTTGCGGACGCCGCGACGGCCGGTGCGATCGCGATCGTCGACGGCACGATCCCGGCCATCAACCCGATGGACGACGAGTCGGCCTTTGTGTACGTGTACAACCACATCTTCTTTTCGCGCGCGGTCGAGGGCCAGAAGCACGTGGCCACCGACGCGGATAACAACCACGAGAACGCGTACTCGTCGGCCAACCACGACCTCCAGGGCGTCAAGGCCTACAACGCCGCGGACGTCACGGGCCTCCACACGCTCGCGACCGTCGTCGTCGACTACCTCGGCGTGCGCATCATTGGCCAGAGCATCATCCCTGGCATCCTCCAGGGCGAGGCTGCCTCCAAGCTCGTGTACGGCTCGGTCGACGGCGGCAAGACGATCGCGTCCAACCCCGAGATGCATGCGATGATGCAAAAGGCGGCCGAGACGCTGCTGCTTGCCGAGCGCACGGTCGCGCCGTCCGGTGGCAGCGACGAGGCGCCGTCGGGCGAGGCCGGCTCGGCGCCCGTCGCGCTCTGTGGCCCCGTTGAGGCCAAGGGCATTCTCGGCTCGGACAACCGCCACTACATTCTGGACCTGGTCCGCATCACGCCCAAGGACTACACGTTCTACAACCCCGAGAGCGACACGGTGACCGAGGCGTCGCGCGCGTCGCTCCTCGCGGACGCGGACGCTGGCAAGTACACGGCGCTCCTCCGCCCTGAACTCGTCCAGCTCTATGCGCGCTGGAAGGCCAACCAGGCCAAGCAAGCGGCCAAGAAGACCACCGACGAGGACAAGGCGGACGAAGCCAAGGCGGACGAAGCCAAGGAGGACGAAGCCAAGGCGGATGACGAGGAAGTGGAGGCTGCGAGCTTGCGCTTCAACGCGAACGTGCTGATGCCGTATGCGTCGTCGACGGACGCGGCGATTGCGGCGGACGACGAGGCGGTCGCCAAGGACGCGGCGGCGTACCTCCAGACGATGGTGATTCCGGCGTTCGTGGCCGACCTCCGTCGCGGCGCCATGTACCCGGTCGACGGTACCGCCTTGACCGACATGCTCCACGCGTGCGGTATCAACCTCCGGTACCTCGGCAAGATCGCGTCGCTCTGCGCGAGCTTTGAACCGCACGTGTCCAAGTACGTGGCCGAGATCCTCGAGGTCGAGATGATTGCGCGCTCGCTCAAGCACATTGTGTCGCAGCTCTTTCTGTCGCACCCGTGGTTGCGCACGACGCCCGGCAGCGTCCTCCTCCAGGTGCTCAACGCGCTCCTTGGTGCGCCGCGCCCGACGACGGCCACAACCATCGAAGCGTTGACGGCCAACGTCGCGGCCTTGAGCCTTTCGCCGGACGCGATCCCGGACCTCGATGCGACGTCGCTCTGGGCGCGTCTCACGGCCGATGTCCAGACGCGCTTTGGCTACACGCTCCGCTTCTGGCCGGCGGCTTCGCCCAAGAAGGCCAAGAAGGGCAAGAAGGAGGCGCCGGAGCTCGTGCGCGCGCACAAGACGCCGCTCCTCCGCCGCGTGTGCCAGCGCCTCGGCTGGCAGGTGGCGAGCCGCCAGTACAACTTTGACGCCGAGTACCCGTTCGCGGCCGACGACGTCACGGGCGTCGTGCCGGTCGTCAAGACGTCGGCGCCCGCCCACGCGTTTGTGCAGGCTGCGTCGCTCATCGAGCGCGGCCGGTACCTCCTCAGCCAAGGCGTGCTCGCACCGGCGTACGAGATGCTCCAGGACGCCTCGTCGCTGCTCTACCAGGTGTGCGGCGGCAGCCACGAAGACGCGGCGCTCGTGTGCGCGTCGACGGCCACGGCGCTCTACCACGCGGGCGACGTCCCGGGCGCGATCGCGTCCCAGCGCCGCGCGCTTGGCCTCTACTCGCAGCTCAAGGGCCTCGACTACTACGACACGGCGTTCGCGCACGCCAACCTCGCGCTGTACATGCACGCGAACGCCGAGACGGCGCAGGCGGTCGCGCACATGACGCGGGCGATCCAGATCCTCGAGGTCGCGGCCGGCCCGCACTACCCCGAGACGAGCGTCCTATACTACAAGCTCGGCATGATGTGCCAGGACGTGGGCCACGTTGCGCTCGCGCTCACGTGCCACCGCGAGGCGCTTCGCCGCGGCGAGCTCGACCGTCTCCAGGCCGCCGGGACCCTCCACGCGATGGCCATGGCGTGCGTGCTCGTCGGCGGCTTCCGCGAGGCGCTCGCGTACGAGCAAAAGGTGCTGAGCCTGTACACCGAGGTGTTTGGCGAAGAGGACCCGCGCGTCGTCGAGTGCCGCAAGTACATTGAGACGTTCACGGAGCGCGCGGTCGCGGGGGCCAAGGGCCGGCAAGAGCTGGACGCGGCCGCGGCGGCTGACGCGATGGCCGACGCGCTGGCGGAAGAGTGGGCCGTCGAGATCCGCCGCGACGAGAAGAAGGCGACCAAGACGTCCAAGGCCAACAAGAAGAAGTAATCCGAGTTGCGTAATAGAAGCTAGACGACAACGTTCGGTGCGTTCTTCTTCTTTAGAGCATTGGCCGACTTGGCGTGGAAGTCGCCGAGAGTCTTGTTGAGCCGCGCGATGAAGACGTCGATTTCCTATCATTGTATCAACTTGATACTTTTGTGTGGAAATATCGAGTCTCGTACGTCTTGGGTCATGCCAATCGCGCAGGCCGCCGAGAGGTACGCGGTCGGGTACGTCGCCGAGTGCGCGCCAAAGCCCTCAAACGCGTGGCCCACGATCGTCGCGCGCGATGTGCCGGTGACGACGCTAGCGTCAGAGGGCATCGCACTAGGTTTACAGAGCAATATGGGTACCGCGTGCCCGAGACGCCGCGCGAAAAGAGCATCGAGCCGAGGAACGTCGCGTCGTTGCCGCCCACGTGGCTCAATGTCAAGCAAAACGAAATCTACACAAGATTCGGTCGGACGCTGGGGACGGACGTGTCGACAATGTGTACATCGTTGTGCCGCGTGACGAGGACGCGTTCGCCGTGGGCCGTCGCGACCGACGTGAGCGCCGCGGAAAAGTAGGGCACGAGGCGCTTGCGTTCGTCCAGAAGCGCCTTGTACCCGCGTCGGCCAAGGTGCAGCATCGTAATGAAAAGGTCCAGCGCTGGCGCGTTGCTCGCGCGGCCTACACGCAGCGTCATGACGCATGGCCATGGAGGAGGAGGAGGATGGGATGCGATCGACCTGGGTACATCTTGCCGATCGCTTGTACAAAGGCCTGAGGTGACTGAGATGACGGCGCCACCGACGGGCACGAGAAAGTTCTTGTCCGTGCTCTGGATGCACGCGTCGACGCGCCCGAGCCGAAATGCCTACGCAACCCTAGCCTCGTCGTCGTTCTCTAGCGTTCAATAAATACGTACTTGATTCACGAGGTGCGTGCACTTGGACGACTGGAGTCCGTAGGCATTGTTGATGACGTGCCCTAGTTGTACAATGCATATTGAACATGGAGCAAGTGGTGAGGAAGTGGCACCAATATCGTATTGCCGGCAGAGCTGCGCGATCTCGTCGACGCGGTCGTAGCCGCGCGGCGCAAAGCAGCTCGTGGTCGAGAGCACGCACAGAATGTTCTCGGGCCCGAGTTCGCGCATCTTGGCTTCAAGCGCTGCGAGGTCCGTGCGCAGCTCGTCGCCGTCCAAGACGTTCTCGATCACAACGGGCTCGAGGCCTACGTGCGCAGACAGCAACCACAAAGTTGACAGCTGGCAATTGTACCGGCGGTGACCATGGACTTGAAGCATGACTTTTGGCAATGCGCGGCCAGAGCACGTAGCGCTTGGTGTGCGGACGGCCTGGCACGCGCGCCTGCGCCTGCAGCGTCAGCATCGCAAAGAGCAGTGCCATGCCCGTGGCCACGGGGAGCACGATTGCGCTCTTGGCATTCTTGATGCCTAGTTACACTATGAAGTCGCTACATGGAATGCGGCGCCTACCAGCGAGGTGGAGCATGTCGAGGACGAGGCAGTTGGTGAGCTGCACGAGGAGCGAGGATCCTGCGGCCTTGGGCTGGACCGCGCAGATGTCGCCCGATCGGCCGACACCGTGGGCGAGGTGGAAGCAGCGATTGCGCACGAGGCTGCTCGCAACGCGGGCCTCGCGCTCGCCCGCGCCTGCGTTGTGGGCAAAGTTGTTGCTGTCCATTTGGGCCAAGTCGTTGAGCAAGACCTGGATGCTGAGGTCGTCCCAGCCGTCCTCTGGGAGCTTGCGCTGGGCGAGGAGCGCCGTGAGCTTCTTCTCGTGGCTCTTGAGCGCGTCGCTGCCCTGGCGAATGTACGCGGCGTCGACAAAGTCCGTCGCGAGCTTCTGGTTGACACTGCTCTGCATTTTCCAAAAGACGGCAAAAAGACGGCAAATTACGGGAGATACGTTTGTCCCACAAAGTGTGTAACACTATTTACGGTCGAGTGGGACAAACTCATCGACCGCGTCGCGCGCAACGACAGCGTGAAGAACCGCCAGGAGGCTCATGGACCCGGAGCCCATGCGTCGGCGCGAGACGATGTGGCGGAAGAAGCGCGTGATGGTCATGGCCGCCACCTCCCGCCGCTTCCCGCCCACACCGTTGGCGACCGCGTCCGTGCATACGATCATCGCAACCGCCCATCCGGGTACGTCATGCGCGCCAGCGTCGCGTTGGCGCTCGAGAGGATTCCGCAGTTCTGCATCATGAGCTCAAGGCACGTGATGAGGTCGAAGACGGCGGTGTTCTCCTCTATCGGCCGATGAGCTCTGGTGGCCAAGCCCCGACCCTTGTACCTAGCACGGCGCTGGCGAGCGTCGTTTGGCACAGCGGTAAGAGGCCCTCTTGCTTGGCTGCGTGTTGCAGTGTCACTAGCCCATGGATCATACGTGCGATCCTACTTCTGCGTCGTACCGTCGACGAAGCAACACAGCAGGAGGACTTGGGCGCCGGCGCGGCAGACCTCGAGGTTCTCGCGGTTCAAGCGCATGGCACCCACGATGGCTTCAATGCCGCTGCGGTCGCCGACGACGCTCACAAGCACACCTACAAGCGTATTACGACAGCCGTTGCTCTCTCGGTGCCTACTGCGCGTGTGCTCAAAGAGGGCCGCGAGCACATCGCAGGCGCTCGTAACAAGTCCGTGGTGGCTCTCGAAGCGGTCGACGGCCTTGATGAGCGCCGTGACGAAGCGCACGAAGGTTCCTTGCAGATCATCTACCGTTTGCATCAGACACCGTCGACTGTAGCGTGCCGTACTCGCAGCAGTGTCGGGGGCGAGGAGCGTAAGCCGCGCGTAGAGCGCCTCTCCTGCGCGAATGCCCCAGCGCTCAAGGTCCACGTGCTCGACGAACGACTCCATGCGTCGTACGAGCACTTGCCACGTGTCGAGCACAAGGTCGTAGTCATGGAGGTCGCTTGACGCCCGTGACGCGGCCTCGTCGTCGCTGCTACCGCTGTCGTCGTCGTCGTCGCCATGGCGCAAGAGATGCACAATGGCGCTGGCACAGCGACTCGCCACGTATACATCCAAAGCGTAGTGCTGCAGAAGCTCCAAGAGGGCGCGGAGACCGGCGCGCCGCGCTGCAAACACGACGTCCTTGGTCGTATCGACGGCTAGTGCAGCGTCCATGATCATCATACTACTACTGGGATGGCGCATGGCAGCTCGTACTGATCTCGATGCGCCGGAGGAACTGGGAGCAAGGACCACTGTAAGGACTACACACGCATCATCATGATGGTGAACCAAAGCAGTCGATGACCGACGTAGGAGACACTGCGCGCAGCTGGACGACGTAGCCGACCAGCGGCCGGCGATAGGATGGTGCCAACGAGAGTGGCACTTCGACCACGTACGAAAGTCCGCTGCGATGCGCTTCGAGGTTCTCGATCTCGTGCGTCTCGAGCACGACGTCGTCGGCCATACATGCACCATCGACGGGCGGCGGGCGACTGAAGAAGCCGGTGACATCGATCGCGATCGAGTCCATGGGCGCGTCGTCGGCGGGCCACTGGACGCGAAGGGCCCAACTTTGCGCCACCCGATAGCACACCAAGGTCGGTGCTGGAAGCGCCATTCAAAACAATGTCCTTTCCTGTGGTAGGATGGATCGCCGCCGTTACGTACGACCACCGGTTTCAGTATTGGATTAAAAGATCGATTAAACACGTAGAATGACGAGGGACATGTATAGAATGACTAGGGTAGCTCCAAGATCGAGTCGTCGACGACGAGCTCGCCGGTTGGGCGCAGCGCCGAGCTCTGGAGCGCAAGCTGCGACTGCGTAATGTCCTCGAGAAGGTTGACGGCCGCGAGCACTGTATTCGCGCTCGAAATGAGCTCCTCAACGAGCCCCGTCGTCTTGCTGATGTAAAAGTGGCTCACCATTTGCACTTGGATCACACGGCCGAGGAGATGCTGCACCGTGCTTTCGTCGGCGCCAACCAAGTTTGGGTAGAGGGTCGCAACTGAGCGCCGCGAAAGCCGTAGCGAGAGGAGCCCTATCGTCTTGACGACGACATCGTCGTCCGTGTCGACGACGACGTTGACGTGTTCGAGGCGCAAGTGGTGCGCGTCAAAGAGCGTCGTGTAAAAGTGCAGCTGCTCGAGAAGCTTGGTGGCGCCATCGACCTGCGATGTATGAGTTTAGATAGAGGCGAGAAGGTAGACACCTACCCGCGTATCGCCCATGACGACGAGGTTGGGCGACATGGCGCTGCGCAGATAGGCGCGCTGCGTCTCGATGGCCGCGGCCTGCAGCCCGTGTTCGAAGAGGGTATAGTAGTCGTGCGCGACGCGGGTCGCGCGTTCGTGGACGACACAGACCCCCTGCGCCATGCGGAGTTCGTTCGTAAGCGCGTCGTTGGCGCAGCGCAGAGCGAGGACGTCGTGCTCGAGGCGGGCATGCGCCACCTTCTTGCGCTGGCGGTACCGGCGCTGGTTGGTCTGGCTGCGTTGGCGGTACCGCACCTCCCGCTCGTCCAGAGTGCGGCCCAAGATCGCTTGCAGAAACATCGAAAGTATGATCTGGCGAGTAATAAACGCTCAAGATAGCACGATCGGTCCGAACCGTCGGGTGGCTCCGATTGGTCCGTGCCACTGACGCCTCCCTTGCTCGCAAAGCGTAATCAAAGCCACCTCTCGAGAACACAGTCCGTGGACATGCAGCCACCTCATAGTGCAGCCACCAGCCATTGTAGCACACGGAGGTCGAGGTTCGGACGACTTGATGTGCGATCAGTGCCATTGTACAAGGCTCCATAACGCTAGCGCTCAGCAATCACGTCGCAATTTGATGACGCGATCGGGGGCTTCTTCAAGGCGTCTTTTACTTTAATGTTGCCGTGTCTGGTTTGGTCAACGCCACCACAATGTTACCGGTACGTCATCCCGCCAAGGTCGGTGCTGGAAGCTCCATGCAAAAATGGTCTTTCCCGTGGTAGGATGGATCGCCGCCGTTACGTATGACCATCGGTGTGGTGTTGGATTGAAAGAGAATGACTAGGGTAGCTCCAAGATCTTATCGTCGACGTAGAGCTCGCCGGTTGGGCGCAGCGCCGAGCTCTGGAGCGCAAGCTGCGACTGCGTAATGTCCCCGAGAAGGTTGACGGCCGCGAGCATCGTGTCGGCGTCCACCACGAGCTCCTCGACGAGTCCCGTTGTCTTGCTGATGTAAAAGTGGCTCACAACGCGCACTTGGAGCACGCGCCCGACGAGACGCTGCACAGCACCCTCGTCGGCGCCGACCAGGCTTGGGTAGAGGGTCTCAATTGAGCGCCGCGATAGCCGTAGCGAGAGGAGCCCTATCGTCTTGACGACAACGTCGTCGTCCGTGTCGACGACGACGTTGACGTGTTCGAGGTGCAAGTGTTGTGAGTGAAAGAGCGTCGTGTACAAGTGCTCTTGCTCGAGAAGCTTGGTGGCGCCATCGACCTGCGATGTACTGTATGAGTTTATATGGAGGCGAGAAGGCAGACTCCTACCCGCGTATCGCCCATGACGACGAGGTTGGGCGACATAGCGCTGCGCAGATAGGCGCGCTGCATCTCTATGGCCGCGACCTGCAGCCCGTGTTCGAAGACGCTATAGTAGCCGTGCGCGACGCGCGTCGCGCGTTCATGGACGACGCAGACCCCCTGCGCCAAGCGGAGTTCGTTCGTTTGTGAGCGCGTCGTTGGCGCAGCGCAGCGCGAGGACGTCGTGCTCGAGGCGGGCATGCGCCGCCTTCTTGCGCTGGCGGTACCGGCGCTGGTTGGTCTGGCTGCGCTGGCGGTACCGCACCTCCCGCTCGTCCAGAGTGCGGCCCAAGATCGCTTGCAGAAACATCGAAAGTATGATCTGGCGAGTAACAAACGCTCAAGATAGCACGATCGGTCCGAACCGTCGGGTGGCTCCGATTGGTCCGTGCCACTGACGCCTCCCTTGCTCGCAAAGCGTAATCAAAGCCACCTCTCGAGAACTCGGTTTGTGGACATGCTGCAGCCTCTCGTTATAAAGTGCAGCCGCCAGCCGTGTTAGCACATGGAGGTCCACGTTCGGACGACTTGATGTGCTATCAGTGCCATGCGGCAAGGTTCCATGTACAAGGTTCTATGACGCTAGCTCACATCAATCACATCACAATTTGATGACGCGATCGTGGGCTTCTCAAAGGCTGGTACAGGAACAGGAACGTTTTACGTGGGGTGCCAACCAGCATACCAGGGGGCTCGTGTCTCTATACGGACAACTCATTGGCTATAATTCCAGAACCTTTGTCCAATCAAACGCCGTTAAGGTTGTCTCAGCCAATCGCATTGCGCAGAACATGTCCTGTCAAGTGCGATTTTGTAGTCTCTTTTAAGTGCTGTCAGATGTGGAGCATTACTGTATACTTGCTCCCGGTTTATTAAGTACGACGCACTTATCAGGGCTAATCACTTTCTTCCTCATAGCCGCACCTAATATAGCCTCTCAGCACGCGTTGAATATCCGGACAGCGGAACCGTGCGGAGACCACCGTCATGGCAAGGACGCCTCCTAGTACCATGGGGCCTAATGGGAGGCAGGTGGAGCCTCGAACGGTGTACGAGGTGGAGCTCTTCCAGGAGCGGCAAGCGCAGAGGAAGCAAGAAACCCGAAGGAAGGCAAGACTCGCGAAGCGTGAGCAAGCCACCGCAGCGACCTCATCGACGGAGGCCAACTCGACTCATGACGAAGAACTAGGTGACCCAGATGACCCAGGTGCGATGCCACATTGATGACTGCAACAAGCGACGACGGCGCGTTGGCCCGGAAAAGTCAGGGTAGCAAAGGTCGCGCGTTGACTTTTGTCTAGGCCAACGCGCCGTCGTCGCAAATACCGGTAAACAACGCTTCGCATTCAAAAGTTTTCTACCAGCTCACCCCGCACGGGACCTGTTACTTTAATGTACCGGTACGTCATCCCACCAAGGTCGGTGCTGGAAGCGCCATCCAAAACAATGCTCTTTCCCGTGGTAGGATGGATCGCCGCCGTTACGTAAGACCATCGGTTTGAGGTTGCATTGAAAGATCGATACATACATGTAGAATGACTAGGGTAGCTCCAAGATCGAGTTGTCGACGACGAGCTCGCCGGTTGGGCGCAGCGCCGAGCTCTGGAGCGCAAGCTGCGACTGCGTAATGTCCCCGAGAAGGTTGACGGCCGCGAGCATCGTGTCGGCGTCCACCACGAGCTCCTCGACGAGTCCCGTTGTCTTGCTGATGTAAAAGTGGCTCACAACGCGCACTTGGAGCACGCGCCCGACGAGACGCTGCACAGCACCCTCGTCGGCGCCAACCAGGCTTGGGTAGAGGGTCTCAATTGAGCGCCGCGAAAGCCGTAGCGAGAGGAGCCCTATCGTCTTGACGACGACATCGTCGTCCGTGTCGACGACGACGTTGACGTGTTCGAGGTGCAAGTGTTGTGAGTGAAAGAGCGTCGTGTACAAGTGCTCTTGCTCGAGGAGCTTGGTTACACCGTCGACCTGCGATGTACTATATGAGTTTATATGGAGGCGAGAAGGCAGACTCCTACCCGCGTATCGCCCATGACGACGAGGTTGGGCGACATAGCGCTGCGCAAATAGGCGCGCTGCATCTCTATGGTTGCGGCCTGCAGCCCGTGTTCGAAGGCGCTATAGTAGCCGTGCGCGACGCGGGTCGCGCGTTCATGGACGACACAGACCCCCTGCGCCAAGCGGAGTTCGTTTGTGAGCGCGTCGTTGGCGCAGCGCAGCGCGACGACGTCGTGCTCGAGGCGGGCATGCGCCGCCTTCTTGCGCTGGCGGTACCGGCGCTGGTTGGTCTGGCTGCGCTGGCGGTACCGCACCTCCCGCTCGTCCAGAGTGCGGCCCAAGATCGCTTGCAGAAACATCGAAAGTATGTTTTGGCGAGTAACAAACGCTCAACTTAGCGCGATCGGTCCAAAATGTCGGGTGGCTCCGATTGGTCCGTGCCACTGACGCCTTCCAATTCAACTTGCACCTTGCTCGCAAAGCTCTACGATAGCCACCTCGCGAGAGCACACTCCGTGGACGTACAGCGTACATGGCATTGCAGCCACCTTATAGTGCAGCCACCAGCCATGTAGGAGGGATCGCGCATGGCGTGAAGCATGATGAGGTCGAGGTTCGGACGACTTGATGGGCGATCAGTGCCATACTGCTAGGTTCCATGACGCTACCGCTCAGCAATCACGTCGCACTATGATGACGTGGGCATCTTCAAGGCGCTTTTCCTTCGATGTGCTAGCAAGCGACCAACCACCCACCCCTCTCGCGCACACGCGCGTTCGTCCACCCAAGATGATAACGTGACTTTATGGATTTGCAAAAAAACGCAGTTTCACTGTGCTTCGGCGCGCGCCACTGCTCTGTTTTCCGCTCACAAGTTGAGCCTGGCGGTCGCTTCGTAGCGCGACGACTCGAGCGCTATCGCTGCGTCCGAGACGTTGCCGAGCAGCGTGATCGCGGCCGTGGTGATGTCGGCGTCGACGGTAAACGTGTGGACGGCGGTCGTGTCCTTGTACATGTAGAAGAGCGCGTGCATGGGCACGCGGAGCATCTTGCCAATGAGCGACTGCACGAGCGGCTCGTTGACCGCAATCAAGTTTGGGTAAATGGTCGCAATCGAGGCGCGGGAGAGTCGGAGGTGCAGCGTTGTCCGGGCCTGGACCACGATCTCGTCGTCGGTGAGCGCGATGGTCTCGGCGCCGTCGCACACGTGCGTGAAGGACGCAAAGACCTTGGTGTAGAAGCCCCACTGCCGAAAGAGCATCGACATGCCATCCGCCTACGCATGCCAAGTCTGAGCCAAGGGTGATGCTTTGTGATGGGCGACAAGCATGGTGACCTCGCCCATGAAGCTAAAGTCAGGCGACGTTGTGCAGTACAGGAAATGCAGCTGATCCTTGTATGCAGCCTGGCCGGGGTCGCTAAAGCCGTGCTCAAAGACGCTAAAGAACTCGCGCGCGACGTTGGCGAGGCCGGCGAACGTCGGCATCGGCGGCGGCAGCGCCAGCGTATGGCTCGTGAGCTGGTCCTCGAGCTGCGCGACGTGCACGCGGAGTCGGATGACCTTGTCTTGCAGCTGCGTCTGCGACTCTTTCTTCTTGGCGCGGTACTTTTGCAGGCTGCGCTGGCGCGCTGGCACGGCAGGCGCAATCGAGGCCTCGGCCTTGGCCATCGCACGTGTCAAACTGGCGACCGCGTTACGGCTTGGATCATCATCCCCTTTGTAATTTTAGCCAATCAGAGCGCGCGATAATGCTTGTCGTGGCATGACATTACCGTGCCTACAGCCACGAGCTGCTACAACCGCAGCATGCTGCCAGCCACTCGGCAAGAGGCTCGATGACGAGAGCTAGCATTTGCCACCTCTGGCCTGGCAAACTGTCGTTGACAAGCACGATGTTGTTCCCTGGCCCCTGGCCATTCGCTCCCTACTCCGTGCGCCGTATCCGGTCGGTCTTGCCGGGCTTGCTTTGCACGGGGCCGCCCTTGCAGCAGCTGCGTCCACCCTGACGTACGTTAAAGTATCGTTGAAGCTACTACCTGTCTTTGCATTGACCTCGTGCAAAGACGGGTGCACAATCGGCTTTACATGTTTATCGGGTCCCTGCTGTGTACATTAGCAACCACTCCGATCTTATGCCCGGCACTTAGCTCGTCGCGCTGTGGTGCCATCTCTTGACACGTCGCTGGTTGCTCTCCGTGACGACCCTTGGTGTGCACGCTACCTGGTCCCTCGCACAATCTCGAATCACTACCACTAACGCTCCTCGCTGAAGCACTGGCCAAGCCTCACGAGCGCATTAGGAAGTCAACCATATCTGTATAATTCCGATCTTATGCACAGCGTTAATTGGTCGGGTCGACAGCGATCTTGGCCGTTGTCTGCAGCCGCGAGTGTTCGAGGGCGCGTGCAGCAGCTTGCACGTTGTTTTCGAGCAGCTGCAGTGCAGCGGCCGCGACGTCCGCTTCGATCGAGAAGCGTTGAATGCGGGACGTGGCCTTGTTGACGTAAAAGACGCAGAGCATGGGCACGACCAAGTCGCGCCCGACGAGCCGATCGAGGGTCGCATCGTCGTCGCTCAAGCTGGGGTAAATCGTCGTCATGGAGACCCGCGAGAGGCGCAGGTGCATCGTGGTGGGTGCGCGCACGATCACGTCATCGTCCGTCTCGAGGCGGATGACGCCGGCGTGCAACGCGACGACGCGACTCGACGCGAACGTTTGCTCGTAGACCGCCCACTGCCGAAAGAAGACGGCGGCGCCGTCCGCCTACACAAGTAGATAGCTCCAGACCCATCACCAAGCCTTTCTATGGCCTACGTCGTCCATAAAGGCAAAGTCGGGTGCGGTGACGCTATGGAAAAAGGCAAACTGGTTCGTGCGGCCGGGTGGCGGCTGCACGCCGACCTCAAAGACGCGAATGAACTCGCGCGCGGTGCTCATCGCGGCGTCATAGGACCGCACTTGGGCCGGAAGGAGCCGCGCCCGAAGAGCCTCGAGCCGCCGCGTGTCCTCGGTCAAGTGCGCGACTGCAGTAACGAGCTCGAGCTGCGATCGCTGCTTCTTCTCGCGGTACCGCCGCTGCGTGTCGCGATGGCGCTCGCGTGCCTCGGGCATCTTTCTCTAAGTGAGCACCTTGGAGCGACTGACCAATTCATTCCAAACGCCGTTATCGGATCACATCGGCCCACTGGCCACATGTCGGAGAGGAACTTAGATCTTAACTTGACAACCGCACAAATTGGCGTGATATGCAACCACGCGGCCGATGCTGCTGGTCCAGGTGTTTCCAAGGCCTACGACATGACGGTCCTCGTTCAAGCTTTGACGAAAGAGGCTTGTATGGGAAGCGCCATCATCTTGACCCGTAAGCCTCCACACAACACCAACGACCTAAACAGCAAAAGACGGCTGGGTAAATAGAGTGATGTGATTCATTGGTAGACACTCAGCTTGACTGCAATCCTTAGCGCAACACGGCATTGTACGGAGGCCGCGCTGGCAGAGAGATCTCGGCGTTGGCGTGAAGCCGGGTCTTCTCGAGGGCCACGAGACTTTCCTGGACGCTACCCACGAGGTTGGACGAGGCCGACGCGATGTCGGCCGTGGTTGAGAGCGTATGCACCATGTGCGTCTCCATGTTGACGTAAAAGTGCGTTAAAATCGGCACGTGCAAGAGGCGCCCGACGAGCGATTGGACAAACGGCTCGTTGGACGCAACTAAATTGGGGTAAATGGCTTCGATCGATGCGCGCGAGAGCCGCAGGTCAAGGACCGCGAGGGCCCTCACAATGACCTCGTCGTCAGCGTCGACAAGCACGTCAAGACGGTCGCACTGCATGTGCAGCGAGTCAAAGAGCGTCGAGTACAAGTCGAGCTGTTCAAAAAGCTTGTGCACGACTCCGTCCTACGCCACTTCGTCTCATGCGTTCCATCCATGTTCGCGCGGGTCCGTACCGAAGTCTCCATGAATTGCAAGTCCGGCGCCATGACGCTTCTGAGAAAACCAGCCTGCGCCTCGTACAACGGGTGCCATGCACTACGGAGGCCGTGCTCAAACACGCGGAAATACTCGACCGCAATGTTCGTGGCCACAGTCGTCGAGATGGGCGGCCGCGCGACGGCGGCTTGGTGCGACTGGACCTGCGCGGTCAGTGTGCACACGTCGCGACGCAGCGCGTGCACGTGGCCCTCGAGCGCTTCGAGTGCTATCTTCTTTCGGGACCGATACCGGCGCTGGTTGCGCTGGCTTCGGGCTCGCTGCCACGCCTCGTCTTCGTCCGTCCGGACGGGTCGTGTCCGGCGAGGCACCACGATCGCGGCTGTCCGCTCCGTCATTATGTCCGTTGAAAAATGCTTCTGTTTTTCGCAACGAGCACGATGACGTGTGACATGGTGTGAATAACGTGTCGGCGTTCGGTCGACAATCCAGAGTCCAGACTTGGAACCCTCGGACATGGTGCACATTTGAGATTGTGGGAAACCACGCGCGAGGACAAAGCCGCCGTAAAATGCTCCTGCACGCCGGGGCCCAGCTCCTGCGCCCAGGTGCAAAGTGCACGAAACGGCTTGAGACACCGCCCGTAACGGCCAGCGTTTCGTCGGAAAGCTCCACAAATTTGCAATCTGGCACGGCGAAGCAACGAGTCGGCTGCACGGTACTGGTGTATTACGAGCATGGGAAATAGTAAGCCCTTGATTACGACGCACGAGACACGAAAACTGAAACGTCGATTCATACGACGTGATTGGATCGTCCGGTTAGCAGGCACAGCGTGCCTTACGCGATCGTCACCAGCGCGAGGGGAGGTATAAAGGCATAAAGGACCTGTTTCGTGCTGGGACGTGATCGATTATTTGTGCATTTTAGCACGCGTGTTTTGCTCGAGCTCGTTCGAGAGCACTGCAGATTGCACTGGAAAGGTCGTGTGGGTCCAAACCTAAAACGCGTTTAAACTGAGCAAGGATTTTCGCGCGATGCGTTGGGCGTCGGTTGGTCTTCAACAGCATGTTCACCGCCACGGATCGGGGCGGTGATCCGATTTGGATGGGGCGTGGAACCTCGTTCATCTCGCGTCATCATGGTGCTTTCGATAACGTCTGCCATGCGAAGACGGTGGGAGCTTTTCGAGCTGGCTCGTCGCTCTACTACTGTTGCTGCCCATAGCTGCTTGGGTGCTAGACCTGCGCACAATCGATGCTTGTGGACGACACAGCGAACGCAGCCGAATATATGCATGCGTATTACACTTGCATAACGTTCAGCTCTGCGTTCGGCCGCAGCGGTGATCGCTCGAGGGCGGCTATGCTAGAGCGGAGGTCACCCAAGAGCTTAAACGCGGCGACAACAATGTCGGCGTGCGTTGTCAACGTGCGCACTTGGCCCGTTGCCGCGTCGATATAAAAATGGACCGAGATCGGTACGAGAAGGTCACGCCCAGTCAAGACCGCCGCGTCCGCCGGCGGCAAGGCCGGGTAAATTGTCTCGATGGCTGTCGGCGAGAGCCGCAGTTGCAGAGTGAGGTGCGCATGGACGACTTCTTGGTCGTCGGCCATGATGGGCGCCTCGACGTGGAGCTCCGTGAGCTGCATCGCTGGGAAGACCCACGAGTAGACGTCGCACTGCTGCACGAGTTTGGCCAAGCCGTCCACCTACGCACCCGCAAGTGTGCATTGGTGCTTACTCAGATGGAAGAGGTCATACCTTGTTGTCCATGAAGGCCAAGTCGGGTGCCATCACTGAGCGCAGGAACGCGACTTGCTCGAGCCCGGCGGCGCCCGTCGCGCGGCCGTGCTTGAAGACCGTGTAGCACGTGTGCACGAGGCGGGCGCTGCCATCGCTTGTGAGCTTCGGCGCCGATAAGACTACCAGCTCCTCTTGCAAGCGCTGCCATCGCCGGTGCAGCTGGTCGACGGTCGCGCGGAGGTCGACGACTTGGCCCTCGAGCTGCCCGACAAAGCGCTTCTTCTTTTGGCGGTAGCGCTGCTGGTGGACCTGGTTGCGAAGTCGCTTGAGCTCGATGGCGTCGCTGGGCGCGGACAAGACGCGGTCGAGATCCATGCAATTGGGACTAATATTGACACTGGTCCTGCAACCTCCGCGCTGCTTTCGAAAAAGGGAACATATTAATATTGCCGGTGCAGAGACACGGGTCTTTTGACTCGTTTGACCTCAGGTCAAATACGTTTTTCGCGTTAAATGCCAGCCCCAGGCATCCGGATAGAGCAGTGCCGTTGTTGTGTACCGGTAGTTGAAGTCGTTCAAGAGTAATGATCGCACGGTCGGGCACATAGAGAAGCGCCGTTCTCGTCATCGCTTCTCAGATCACGGGATGATGATGTTTGCGAATTGAGCCGAAAATATAGACGGAGGTTGGAACGATATGAGAGAGCTACTGGTACTTGAGCGACCATCGCATCTCATCATCGTGGTTCCGTACTCACTTGCGGTTCATTTTCATTTTTAGAGAATATGTGTGGACGATGCCGGCGCCAAGCCTCTTATGCTTTGAGCTAAAGTCACCCACCGCGCCACACCCGATTTATGGCTTAGCCCCAAAGCGTGCCTCTCGTCGCATAGTGCTAGTACAGTCTACACGTCATGTCATGCTGGTCCATCATGTCGTTCACAGACTGCCGTTGACTGTTGATGAGCTGGCATGGAGGGCGCCCATGCACTGACGTGCTTCAATTGGACGCACAGAGAGTCACTGATATTGATGGGTTAGAATGGAATCCTACGGAGAAACCGAGGTTGCTCGATGAAAACGAGATAAGAATGAGATATGGCACGTGGGCCCTGACGCCAACAAGTCTGGCGGGCCTTGACAGCTTCCATCGCCGGCAGCTGCGTCGTCTTCTAGGCATCTTTTACCCGAACACGCTCGGCGACGTCGCGCTCTACAAGCGCTGTAAGAGTGTGCCGCTGAGTGAGATCGTCGCCCGCCAACGCTGGCGCCTGCTGGGCCACGTGCTGCGCCTGAAGAAAGACGTCCCTGCCAACATTGCCGCCGCCCGCTTCTTTGCCGCTCCCGAGGCGCCCCGTTTTCTAGGCCGCACCAAGATCACGTTGCCGATCGTCCTGCACCGCGACCTCCAGTCGTTGACGCCGCCTCAGTCGCTGGCGTCTCTCGAGGACCTCAACAAACTGCGTAGCTTTGCCGCCGATCGCGACGCCTGGAAGGAATCTACGGAACT